ATTCAGGGTGTTTGTACACTCCCTCTGCAAATGCGAAACAAAACAGTGCGATCCAAACAACAGTATTCCAGCGTGTCTTGTGCATGTTAGTACTCGTGCACAGGAACAGAGAGATAGTGGATAAAGGAAAGCGAGAGCTTAAAGGATGGTAAATGTACCAGCAGCTAACTAAATATCAGCTGTCGTGCTTCAGAATCCAACAGTAGTTAATGTTTGCATGAGAAGCAACTGGACACGGCTGTGATATAAATTTAGCTACTAAAACAAAAACTAGACACAAGAACAGTGATGCTCAACTATATTCATGCCTGTTGTCCTGGGAATCCTGTGTGTCCTACCCCACTGCTAACAATAAAAAAAAAATACTATATTAAGAGGCAATGACATGATGTAAATATAGTGACTTGTTAATGGCAAAAAAAACACCTAAAAACAATAAATAGCATCGACAAGGTGATTTATTTCCATAAAATCTTCAGGATCATAACCAAATCTGTATTTTAGGTGTAGGTATGCACACGTAGCATTAAACCTAAATGGTTTTGGTTTGTATTTTGCTTACTGTGTGTGTATTTCTAATAAATTTCATATTTAATACACTTTTCCCACCCTGTATCCATAGTACAAGGCAGGATATGTGCCGGTTATTCGCTGAGGCTGTTAACAAGACATGATGAAGCTGCAATATGTTGTCTGATTGTTTCTCTACACAACACAGACAGAAGACAAAAACGAGAGCGTTTGTAATGACTGCATTGTGTGAAACTGCAGGATGATGAATGCTTTATCGTAATTGTTAAAATGTTAATATTTGTGTAATGATTTTGTAATAAGCCTGACAAATGATTCAAATAATTCTCTTGTTATTTATGCATTATGGTGCATCATAACCCAGTTAAAATCATATCCCCTGAACCTATTATGTGCCAGACCGGTGAATCATAGAATAAGTCTGGTCAGGAATGTTGTGTTTTTTGTGGGACTGTTAAATTGTGGCGTCATTACGTTGTACAGTAGCGCCGCAAGCCTCAGCCGAGCATTTGCATTCCCCTCACCACCGGGGAGTCTGTGGTTTACCTTGCTTTGGCCGGGGGCAATGTCAAGCAAACACATCTCAAGAATAAATTGCTTCCATTCTCAATATGCAATATGCTGCCATCCATGACAAAAGTAATTTGTTTGGAAATATGAGCACAGAAACCATGCGAGGCCTACATTTAGATCACTTTCTGAGCAACGGCAAATCTAATGATGTATAAGTTACCGCCAGTCACAGTGCAGACTGATGTAGCCGCCCCCGATTACTGAAAGTGTTCACGTCGAGTCAGGCTTGTTTCAGGTATTAAGTCATGCGCTCTGACTGCAGCTCATTTCTTGCTTCCCGTCAGCCTCCTTTTCTGCTTAGTCATGCTTTCCTCTCTTCTCTGAGTCTCTGCGTATCATGTATCCACGTTAACACCTTGATGATTAGTTCTTGTTTTTTTGTTGCCTAAACTCCAGCACCAGCCTGTCAACATGCATCCCTTTCTGCTGCACGACACTAAATTATCTCCAAATCCTGACTCTGCGGCTAAACGATCTTCGGAAATAACTGCAGTTAGATTAGCGGTATAATTCTTAAATACAAAGTTCAGTTCAATATGCACTGTGTAACAGATTTAAAACATGAGACACATGGGAAACCATCTAAAGCGGGAGGAATTTGTAAAACCACTGACATGAGAGTGTACCCTTTAGGTCAGACACGCTGCAAAATGTATGAAGTTAAATAACAACACCAGCGCGTATACCTGGACTGTATAGTATATATTGATTGGTGGGAAACATGAGCAACTCCTGAAAGTTTCAGCCTGACACTGAAGCTTTAGTCTCATTTTTTTAATAGCCCCTCTTAGATATTCCAAATTGCAACCTTTGCTGATTTCAGTTTTGACTCACAATTGATTAACTCTTCAGCCCATAAGTCAATTTAAAGTCATCTCATTTAAAGCGGCAGTATGCACATTTTTTTTTTTTTGTTTTACTCTGACAGGATAGGGTAGCAGCTGCAAATAGAGAAGTTTAGAAGTCTGTTGCATTGTGGGAGAAGTTCTTTAACAAATGTCATTGCATGTTCATTTTTGCAGACAAACTTTAGTGACCACTTCTACAGCTCAGACAGACAAACTCTAGTCATCATCGCTGCAAAAGAAAATATCAGCTGAACGTACTTGCTTGGTGCAAAAAATGTAAGTGGGGCAGTTAACTACAGCTCCCAAGATGCACCTTGATATGAACGTTTTGTCGCTGAATTTAAAATTGTGCATGTATACCACTAATAGTGATG